AGCCTAAAGGTACCAAGAAGGGTGATATCCCTATGGGAGATGAGCTTAGTTATACCCATTAGTCCCAAATGAGAACAGTGTTTGGCAAGCATTTAAGCCAGAAGACCAAGAATCCTTAAAAACATAACTAAAGGCAGTTGAGGACCTCTGGCTCCACTGTCCAAGATGAACCTGGGCATGGGGGACATTATGGGCAGGGGGTGAGCATGACACACTGCCAGTAAAGGGTTCCAGGTCAGCCAGAGCAACACTAATCCCAGACACAGCCATGGAAGAGTTGATAAAGGATTTAGGGAACAGAGCTTAATTACAAGTCCTGCTTTAATCTCAGTCAAGAGCTGCTTAGTAGAAACCCTACCCCATTAAATGGGCTTAAATTTCATTCTTGGGTCAAACGACATTGTAATCTCTCTGAACACACATAATTAGAAGATATTAAACTCCTATTAAATATATAATTGCATATAAAAGCACAGGGTGATTAATTGCTGAGATACCACATTTCTAAAGGGGCACAGGTAATTCCCAGCGTAACTGGTTGGGACTAAGGAACAATCCAGAAAGCAGATAGGTACCAAAGAAAGAGAAGGAAAAACCAAAAAGCCTGGTGATACAATGCACAGATGACACAAAAGCTGGCAGGACAACCATGAAACCAGGCAGCCACAGAGAACAAGCACTTGGAAACCTTGATGCTTCCCAGCAACTTGCACCACAGGAGAGCCAGGCACGAAGGTACAGATGCAGCAACGGGGAGCACGATGCAGTGCTCCCGAGAAAACAACTCGGCATTAAGCAGTAATTCCCATTAAAACACTGAGGGAATGAGAGCTTCTCCAATCTCAGCATGCAGCAGGAGACTACTCCAGTATCAGCGTAATTGTATCTGCATCTGAAGTGGTGAGGAGGCACAGGAATCCTGTAACTACATCTGTGTGGCCAGACTGATGGAGTTACAGTTTTCAGCTTATCAAATGCTGCTTAAAAACCCTTCAGTGACTTCAAAAGGCTGCAAATGCAGCTTGAGAGCAGGAAGAGGGTTTTCAAGAGCGACAGGCTTGCAGAGCTCGAGCTGTAAAACCAAAGCAGGATTACTAAGAAGTGACTTGAAAATAGAAGCTGGTATTTTAACGGCGAGAAGACACCCCGTGTTAAAGGATGCTGCATGGGAAAGGGCAGCAAAACATCCCCAACCAAAAGCAGGAACTGCTTCTAAATGAATAGCAACTCAGGTAATGACAGATTCATTCTTCGATGACAGGCTGAGCACAGGGAGAAGTGGCTGTAGTTATACAGCCCACATTGATGGGGTTTCACACAAGATAACCTCACTGCTTCTCCTTTATTCTGTGCCACTTTGAGTGAATCATCGGTTATCAAGGAGTAGAGCACAAAACGTGGGATATTCTATACAAAGAGCTATGGAAGAAGTTAAAGGGAGAAAAGCGAATCACAGAAGAAAGTAAACCAGCCTCAGCCAGGCAATAAAGCAATCTCTACATATCCAAAGTGACATATATTCATGTATTTCAGTGCTCAGCAGACGCTGGGTGAGGGATCACCCTTATCTCCAAGAGTATCCTTGGTCAGAGACTGCACAGGATGAATGCATCCTCTGTGGTTTCTAACCCATCCATCCTCACTTACAGTGGCCACCGTTAGAGTATCACTAGCTTCCCATCACTGAAGAGGAGTTGAAGTGGGCAGAAAGTTCCTCAAACAGCAACAAACTGGATCAGTCAACCAGCTGCAATAAAAACCAGAGCACTCGGGTGTCACAGCTCAGCCAAGAGGTGGTTTTGCACAAGAAAGAGGTTTTCTCTTCCCCTAGGACGTTATCTGATCCTGCAGAATTAAGCGATTCTTAGAAGCCTAGATAGAGAGAGGAGAGCCAAAAATACTCTGCAAAACCAAGCAGTGTAACACAAGAGGAAAAAGAGGAATTAGAACAGCAGAAGGAAGTGGAATTCGGAGCAATGGATATAATTAGGAGAGGCTGAATAGCAGGAAAGACATCCTGAAGTGGATTATTTTGATTCCAGGAGCATCGCAGACTCAAGGGGATCCCCACAAAGACTCACTTAACTTGTTCAGTGTCCTTTAAACACAACGACATTCCCCGGTAGATACAACAGAGAACATAAGAGACTGGGTTGGCACTGGAGCCACGAGCATAGCAGGACATGAGACCAGCACAGCTCATCACACTGATAGAGGCTGTTGCAACACTTCCTCACACACCCTCATCTCCTATTTTATATTTAGGATGAAATTCCTTCCCATGAGGAGGGCCAGGCTTCATCCCACATCTGCCCAGCACCCAGCACAATGGAGTCCCAGCTGCTGACTCCCAGAATCACAGCAAGAACAGAGCAGAAGAAAATCGGGACTTGAAGAAGGCATCTCGGCCTTCCCCTGCCCCAGGGCAAGAATTACTACACTTGCTATTTGTCTAGCAGAAAACGCTCTCCCTGATGGGTGGAACACAAACCCACCCAGACAGATGAATGAGCTGGACCTTAAACTTAACATCTTAACCCCTCCATCGCCCTCTGATAATAGCAATTCATAGAATCCCAGACTGGGTCAGGTTGGAAGGGACCTTAAAGCTCCTCCAGCTCCAACCCTGCCATGGGCAGGGACACCTTCCACTAGAGCAGCTTGCTCCAAGCCCCATCCAACCTGGCCTTAAACGCTGCCAGGAATGGGGCAGCCACAGCTTCTCTGCACGAAGTCAGCCTTGAGCACTGCACCAGGACACCACGGAGCTGGAATACCTCACTCTGCCAGGTCAGGAACTGATAAAAGTGTGATTCTGTGAACAAACCCGGGCTGGCAGCAGGGGCCCACAGCCCTGCCTGTCTGTGAACCATGCTTTGGGACTGCTGCTCCTCGAAGGGAAGCCAGCCCCTGGCTCCTGGAGACACACTTCTTCCATGATGCCTATAACAAGTGAGTCACCCTTTTATGAAGTTTCCTTCATCCTCTTTTCCAGCACATCGTGTTTCCCCTGAGCTGGGCTAGTTTCAACTCTGAAAGTGCTTGGAGCAGGTATTGCTTATGCTTGTATCAATAATAACACTCCTGATGATGTGCCATTCACCGATAGCCAAGCACAACCCTTTCTCAGCCTCAAACTGTCATTAACGTGGGTATGCAGATAGACATTAAGCCAAGCTCCTCATTTAACCTTAATACTAAGGAACAAGATCAACTGCACTCTGTTCTATGAAATGGAAAAAACACCACCCACACTCTTCATCCTGGCAGTTCCCAGAGATTGGAACCAGTTGTTTCAGTTTTAATAAATCCCATTCTCATTCAATTTACCTTTAAAGCTTTCACAGGAGAACTCCGGAAAGAAAACTGCAAGAAGTCAAAAAACCTAAAGAAATGGGCAACCCCATAGCAAGATAAATCCAGTGCTCCGTTGTTCCACAGAGGAAAAGCTTTCCCTTTCACTGCAGTATCAATGTGAGTCAAACAGCTTCAACACACTGCTTTTTAAAGCCATGCGAGTCATTTCAAACCATGACTTTGTAAAACCTGGCTATTGAAAAGGAGTCAAAGGGCTGCAGCGGACGGGGTGGGAATGGAGCTCTCCAGGGCTGTTTATAGGGAAACAATCCCACCTGGTACTGAGATTTCCAGTTGAGCAGCTCCTAGGCTGATGCAGAGCAGCTGAGAGAGGAAGGCGAAAGCAACAGCACTGCCAAAGGACCGAGTGGCAAAGCTTAGCACCAGGTTTTAAGCCTGCAATAATGCAGGTATTTAGATTCTGAAGCCAAGTACCACAACTCCACCTCTCCCCACTCACAGCCCAATAAATTTAGCTCCCATGAGCTGTAAATATCCTCAACCCATTTCTATCAGCAACCTTCCAGTGGATAACATACACACATGTGCTCAGCACCCAGAGTAACACACACTGGTTTTGATATAAAGCTCTTTGGAGAACTTCTGCTTTACTTTAAAGAGGGGCAAGGAGGGATGAGGTGTCTCACTTTGCCAAAGTCATTATGTAGCATCACTGTACAGGCACAGCACAGAGTCTGGCTAGCAGGACCATGTCTTAGATCACTGTATCAGAATCACAGACTGGTTTGGGTTGGAAGGGACCTCAAAGCTCATCCAGTTCCAACCCCTGCCACAGGCAGGGACACCTTCCACTGGAGCAGGTTGCTCAAGCATGAGCACTGCTTGTAGATAGCTGTGCATAACGTACCTAAAACATCCTATTTGGTAAGAAATGAGGTGACTGCTCATGAGGCACAGGCTTCACTTACGCAGCCCGATCACCACAGAAGCAGCAGGAAAGCCATCCTGAAGTGGATGTGTGCAGCAAAACCCTAACCAGCATCACAAAGAAACACCTAAAAAGGCTGAGACACCAAACCCAGGCACGCTGAAAGGAGCCGAAGGGGAAGGGGAAGGGAAAGGGAAGGGGCAGCGCTCTTGGGCAGCAGCTCCATCCCTCTGCGCTCTGGGGCAGGAGCTCGGCACTTAACACTGATGAAGCAGCCGGTTCTCCCAGCTGAAGGATACTGCACGAACCACTGGGAAATAGACGCTTAATAGGAGAACAAAGGCTCCATTAAGCAAACAGAGGCATTAACTCAGATCAGCGTCAGGATGATAACAGTCCCCATACCCGCAGCTTCACAACCAACCCCGGCATTTGCGAGACTGACAAGACCCCGAGGGGCAGGCGATGGGCTGCAATGATAGCGTGGCCAGACGAAGCGTTAAGGGCTGGAAAACGCCCTCCTTCCCCTGCCGCACCAGCACCGAGGGGCACCGCGAACCGGCCCCGCAGCGACCCAGGCCAAGGGCGGCAGCTTCCAGCCGCCGGGAGCCGGGCAGGGGCGGGCCGGGGGCTGCGGGCGCTCCGCAGGGACGGGTGTTCAATACAGCCCTCATTAAACCGCCCTCATTTCCCCCCCTCCGTGTTCTATGGGGGAGCGGCAAGAGAGCTCTGCCCCAGCCTCCCCGCCCCGCACCTGAGCGTGGGGCCGATGCAGGCCGTGTCGGTGCTCTCGATCTCCCGCAGGATCCGCTCATGCTCCGCCGCCGTCTCCAGGCTCTCCAGCTCCGCCATCTTCCCCCGCTCCATGGGGCTGCGCCGTGCCGGCCACACCTGCCCTCTCCCGCCCCGGGCAGCGGCAGCGGCGGCGCCGGGGCCGCCCGCGCTGCTCCGCTCGGCTCCGTGCGGGCCGGGCACGCCGGGAAATGTAGTGCGGGCCGGGGCGGGCGGGGGGGGGAGCCGAGGCCTGCGCCGGCGCTGCCAGAGCCCGCACCGAGGGGCGGGGAGAGGCCGCCCGGGGCGAGGCGGGGACGCGGCCCCATGGCCGGAGCCGTGCGTGACCCGTGAGGGGCAGAGCCCCCTGCCCGTGGCACCCGTCATGGGGAGACGCAGCCCCATGGCAGGGACCTCTGTGGCCTTCTCGCGTTGAGGGACGCAGAGCCATGGCCATGCCGCGCAGCGTGGGGAGAGGCAGACACCATGGCAGCAGCATCCCCTCTGAGCGGACACAGCCCCGGGGCAGGATCCGCGTGTGTCCCGTAACGGGACGGAGCGCCATGGCCGTGACATCCACCGTGGGGAGGTGCAGCCGTCACGCAGCAGCATCCCTCCCGAGGGGGCACAGCCCCATGCCTCTGGTAACTCCCGGGGGGGGCACAGCCCCATGGCCGGATCCTGCGTCCTCCCCTATGAAGGGGCACAGCCCCATGGCCGGATCCTGCATCCTCCCCTATGAAGGGGTGCAGCCCCATGGTCGGATCCTGCGTCCTCCCCTATGAAGGGGCGCAGCCCCATGGCCGGATCCTGCGTCCTCCCCTATGAAGGGGCGCAGCCCCATGGCCGGATCCTGTGTCCTCCCCTATGAAGGGGCACAGCCCCATGGCCGGATCCTGCATCCTCCCCTATGAAGGGGCGCAGCCCCATGGCCGGATCCTGCGTCCTCCCCTATGAAGGGGCACAGCCCCATGGCCGGATCCTGTGTCCTCCATCCTCCCCTATGAAGGGGCACAGCCCCATGGCCGGATCCTGCATCCTCCCCTATGAAGGGGCGCAGCCCCATGGCCATGAAACCGACCATGGGGAGACTCAGCCTCCAAGGCAGTGGCACCCGCCAGGAGGGGGGATAGCCCCTTGTCCATGACACCTCCCTCTGGGGCACAGCCCTATGGCAGCATCCCTGTGTCCCCTTTAAGGAGATGCAGCCCCGGGGCAAGGACCTCATGTGCCCCGTGAAGGGACACAGCCCCATAGCAGCAACACCCCCTTTGAGGGATCACAGCCCCGAGCAGAGGCGTTCCCTTATCTTGTGAGGGATGAAGCTCAGCTCCCCCTGCCCCATCCTGTCCCTCAGCTCCATAAAGGATGTCACCCCCATCCCGAAAAGCCACCGTTGACTGTGGTCCCAAAGAAAGCTCCCCGCTGACACCAAACCCCTTCCAGCTTGATCCTGAAACGTCCCACCAGCTCCTGAGCTGCAGCGTCCCATCCAAAAGCTGCACAACCCAAGCGTCATCTTCACCCAAGGACACAGCAGAGCTTCCTCCGGAAAACACCAGGAGCCCCCAGAAACCTCCGTGGATGTCAAGGTCTCCTCAAGGTTTAAGGCTGCAGCTCCCTCCTTTGGAAGCAGCTCTTTGTTACTGTGATGACTTTGTGTTGCGAGAGCGACGCTGCAGGCATCCCGTTCCCAGGCACACGTTATCAGGTGCAGCGGAGCCGTCCTTGCCCAGGAATTCCATGCTCTGCCAGGGGCACTGTGGGGATGGAAAGCAGGACCAAGGGCAGGCTATGCAGGCCACTGAGGGCTCCTGCGTTTGCCTTTGTTGTTTTATCTTCAGAGATATAAATAAACTACGCTTATTTTATGAGCACCTCTGGCTTCTCTCGCTAAGGTTGGATGCTGCTGGCCTGGATACCCCTGTATCATCACTAAATTAAATGGGATAAAAGAATTTCCCAAACGCACCACAACTGGAACAGCACAGGAGGGGCAAGGAGAGCCTGGTGGGAGCTTCACGTGTAGTACACCAGCTCTTGCACATCAGCCTACGGTTGCCAAGCAGGGTGCCGTGCGGGACCAGATGGATGTCACTTCGGACGTGTTGACACTGCAGTCACCATGGAGACGTGGTAGAAGCTTTGGGAGGACCGAGAAGGAAAGAGACACATCAGTGGTGGAAGGAAAGGGGATAAAACAGCCAGGTGGTTTCTGAGCCCCGCAGCCTGATGCTGCCTTTGCTTGGATGGGGCCGGAGCTGTATCGGGGGGAAGTACTGTGCATTTTGTGCCTGCCTTTGCCGGGTGCTGCAAGGAGTGATTTAAACATGTTTTGTGCCTCAGACCATTGAGATGAGCTACCTGTGGCTATGGGGAATGTAGAATGTACTGGTTGGTGCGTGTTACATAGCCAGCTCTGGTGTAAAATCTATAGGTACCACCGCCTACCACTGTTAGCAGCTAAGATTATGGTTTTGTTCAAGTTAGAGTTTGTGCTGTTGGGGACTGAGCCAGTGCTCCTGAAATAGGTAGTAACTACTGTGTGGTTTTCACTGAGCTTTAAAAACAGGGTTAAACAACAGTATTCAAAGAGTGAGCAGCTGGTGCCAATCCGTAATGGTTTTAATGACAGAATGAAGCACAGAGCATAGAATGGTTTGGGTTGGAAAGGACATTAAAGATCACCCAGTTCCAGCCGTAGATCTCTTTTTACCCTTGCCTGGTAGAGTTAAAAGTCTGTTATCAAGTCTTTGGTGTTCTCATCTGGTCCTGAGGTTTGGGATCACCCAACCTCTTCTTTGACCAGATGAACACATTGAGCTCTTGCAGCCTTTCACTCGAGGGCACATTTCCCAGTAATTTCCTCATTTAAGCTTTCTGGGGAGCAAAAATCACCATATTTCAAGGTTTTCCTTAACCTGTGGGTGCCAGAAGTGCATGGAGCGGTGGCTCTTGTCACAAACACAAAGAGAGCATGACCCATCTGCTCCTCCTCAACGTTGTGTCGGTGCCATCGCGGGTACCATTAGCTGTTGGCCACAGGGTCACGCTGAGGCTGATGTTCAGCCAATTACTCACCATCACCTTCAATTCCTTTCAGGTCACTGCCACCTGGGATAAACCTTTCCATTCTGTAAGAAAAGGCACATTCTTTGTCCCTGGACACATGGCATTTGCTCACCATCACATGAATATTCATGGCTTGGGTCTGGCTTGCAGAGCAGCCTGGGACATGCCCTTATTGTTTGCTGCCCCACAAACTTTGTACCATTTGCAAGCCTGTCCTCAAGGAGTTTATTTATTCTTGCCAGTCACTGCCATAAACATGCTGGATTTCTATTGTTGGCGTTTATTAATCATATCATCATGCAGAGCCAACACAAATGTGTCAAACACGTCTGTTACCAGCTCATAATCGCATTGAAAAACCATACTGAGTTTGCCTGACAGAGTCTATTGCCCTGAAAACCATTGGCCACATTAACTCTGATGTTCCCTTAATGTCCTGCTAATGAAGTTCTATAGAATTGTTTTTGTGGGACTGATAACAGCCTGATGGAGCTTTAAACACTCTCCCTTTTCCTTATTGACCTCTCCTTGGGTGTTTTCCAGTCCTCCAGAACTTCCCTTGTGTTCCAAAACTTCCTAAAGAGATCATTGTAACAGGTTGGAAACCTTGAGCAGCCTTTGCACAGCCTCTTACACAGGTTACCTGAGGCTGCTGGTCCAAAAGTCATCATCACTGTCTACAGATCACTGTGGCACCCAGGATCTTCCCAAACTGAGGAATGATTGTAATTCTGCCATTTCACTGGAGCGATACCATCAGAATTTCATAGGATTATGGAATCCCAGCCTGGTTTGGGTTGGAAGGGACCTTAAAGCTCCTCCAGTCCCAACCCCTGCCACGGGCAGGGACCCCTTCCACTAGAGCAGCTTGCTCCAAGCCCCTGTGTCCAACCTGGCCTTGAACACTGCCAGGGATGGGGCAGCCACAGCTTCTCTGGGCACCCTGTGCCAGCGCCTCAGCACCCTCACAGGGAAGAGCTTCTGCCTAAGAGCTCATCTCAGTCTCCCCTCGGGCAGGTTCAAGCCATTCCCCTTGGCCTGGCCCTACAGGCCCTTGTCCCGAGCCCCCCTCCAGCTTTCCTGGAGCCCCTTCAGGCACTGGAGCTGCTCTAAGGTCTCCCCTTCAGGAGCCTTCTCTCCTCTTCTGAACAAGCCTGGAGAAGAGAGTTTCTTTTCTCCTCAAAAAGCTCTTTCCTATGGTGCTCATTGTGCTTCCTCATGTCGTGGTCTTACTTTACTGAACTCTTTTCTCTCTGCTGCTTCTTCCCTTCCCGTCGCCTCCACGCTCCTCTGACCGCACCTATGCTCGAGTAACAGCAGGCAGGCGCGCTGCCAACGCTGCTCTTACGTTTGGGCTCTGCGGTGTCATTCAGACAACGTTTCCCAGTGGAACAAGGGCATTGTCACACAGATCCAGGGATTAAACGTGGAAAGGAAGGAACAAGCGAGGCCAGATGCTCCTGACCTGGAACACCAACCTCCTGCAGGGACATGGGGGAATCTGAAGCAACCTTTTGGGGTAAGGACCGGAGCCCCTGTGGTTGCTTCCACGCTCTCCTCCTTCATCCCCAGCCTCTTCCTGCTCCTCGCTTCTGCCTTCACCAAACTCCTTAAGCCATAACCCCGCTCCCAGCCTCAGTATTTGCTTTCTCCTGCCCAACAGCTTAAAGCTGGGCGAGGAGAGGAACATGGTATTTCTAAAGCAACAAGAACGCCCTGGGTGCTGACTAAGCACACAAATCACCCGCTTCTGTTTGCTCTGGGTGTGCAGCAGCCTGCTTTCCGTCTTAAAGGCTGACCTTTAGCACCCTCCACTTCAACCCTAAGGGAATAAATCAACCTCCATCGCCCAGAGAGGTGCCTGCATTTCATTCATCCCTCCTCCCTCAGCCCCTTTCCCCATTTTTCCATGCGGTGCCAACTCAAAGCACCCCCTGTAAGCCTATGAAACGCAATCTTGGCCGTTCCAGGGGGGCAAAGCTCAGGAATTCGCTGCCCTTTGTGCAGGATAAAGGGCAGGACGGGAGCTGGGATGGAGATGCAGAGGAAGTGAGGAGCTGCAGGGGGCCGGGCTGGCTGCTCCTGGCTGTATGGAGGGTGGAAGAAGT